CGCTACGCAGCACACGTACTGACCGCCCATATATATATATATATCTATATCTATCTATCTATATATATATATATCTATATATCTATATCTATATATATATATATATATATATATATATATATATAATCAATTTGCCCCAAGAAAAGAAAAATGCTACTAAGACGTAAAAGGCTACTGGGAATTAAAAAAACCCAGAAGGAATCGGAAACTCAATCCTAAAAAGGGAATAAGGGATAAACCTCTAAAACAGTTCAAAAGGACCAGGGAAGAGTGTGAACCGGGCGATAGGCGAAACTATCTACACAAAAAACACACACACACACACACACACACACACACACAGACATATTTATATATATTATTTTGATGACAAGAAAAAAACGAAAATTGAAGCAAGAAATATTAAATTTTACACACAATAAAACCAATTAAAATTCAGCGAAACATTTTTCTTTTATTTGTATTCGATTTGCAATGGATGTTTGTTTAAGGTGGGTAATCTGGGCGTGTTTAGGTTGAATGAAAAGAATCAAATAGGAGTCTCGAAGTTCCAGGGATTGGACAAATATTCACTTCGGCATTCAGTCTAAATCTGTTACTCTTAGGTAAGTAATTTTAGCATCTGGTTTCATTTTTGGTCCCTTAAAAAATACTTCTTCTATATGCCGTGTCCATTCAGGACGTGGGTGATCATAGCTTTCGACAGTTTGTTGTTCATGCGTTGCTTTCCTCTGTACCTTTTGCCTTCTCTGTGTCCAATGAGAGTTATAGATTTCAACCCACTTTCTTCATTATCTGTGCTAGAAATTTCAAATGTAAAATTTCGAATCTAAGAAATATGAGCGGCCATATTAAAAAAAAACACAACGTTTCACCTTTCATTCTGACCTGAAGGCATCAAACTAGCACACGAAGACTAAAATCATTAATTAAAAAAAGCTTTCCCAATATATATTAGTAATGGTGAATAAGCACAAACAGTAGCAACTGTGTCAACATTACCATGAACGGGAATTTAATGGATGAAGAGTCCATTTTTTAAATATTTGGGAGCAATCTTGTCTCAGAATGTTACCTACAACTCGAAAAAACGCACACGGATTGCTGCAACCGTGACAGCGAAGCCTAAATTGGAAAGAATATGTAGGAGCAAAATCAGGTTTCAAACCAAGTGCAGACTGTACAATTTGCTGGTAGTCTCTATTCTCCTATATGAATGTGAAACGTGTATACTGTTGGCAGAAACAAAGAGAAAAGTCCAAGCGTTTGAGAACAAATGCATGAGAAAACTCCTTGGCATATTGTATTAGGAACATAAAACCAATGAGTTTATGTGGAATAGTGTTGAAAGTTTTGCGGGCCAGCAGGAACCTCTTCTCCAAACGGAGAAAAATGGCGTGGCTTAGACACATTACAAGGCACGACAGTCTGTGCAATTTAATCTCCTCTCCCTTTGTCTCCACCAGATTCTACATCTCTCATTTTTTTTAATTCAACGATGACTGCCCTATGCAGAATTCCATTTGATTATATAAGCCCTTGGCTAGAATATCTTACGTTCAGGCCGAGTATCACTTGATCCCGGAAGTATATTTTATTAATTTATACATTTTCTTTCACGGCGTATACTCTGTGGGTGGTTAATTTTAAAGACTTACATCGCGATTTTATTGATGACGCAATTGGTTGTCATAAAACAGCCAGTCACTAAAAGGCCAGATAAAATCATTTACAACCAAACAAATTAATGGAAACACAACATATATATACATATATATAATGATATATATTATATATATATATATATATATATATATATATATATATATATATGCGTGTGTGTGTGTGTGTTTGTATGTGTGTCTGTGCGTGTGTGAGGCTAAACGATAAGTATAATATTTTCTATATCATGATTTTTTGGTTCCAAAGGGAGTTTAGCCAGATTTTGATTGGTTACTTCAACTTTGCACTTTACTTCATATTTCTTTGCACTTTGAAACTATATATATATATATATATATATATATATATATATATATATATATATATATATATATATATGAATATCAGATATCGCTCGATAGGATCGATGTACTATAACAGTGCTATTAAATATATATTAATAAAAAACATATTCGACCGGTACTACTGGTGACAGATATATATATATATATATATATATATATATATATATATATATATATATATATATATATATGTGTGTGTATGTATATATGAAAAAGGTATATTTATAAAGCAAATATCCATCCAAATAAGTTTGATTAAAACGATAATAAAAATTACACAGACCTCGTTGGTTCGTTTTAATCAAATTTATTTGAATATATATAAATATATTGCAAACATTTTTTACCAACAAACTACCTGACGAATGACCCCTCAAAAAAAGGGAAAAACTAAGAAAATATACCAAAAAGCAGATAATATATATATGTGTGTTTGTGTGTGTGTGTGTGTCTGTCGGCCTGACGATTGCGTTTAGCATGTAACAGCGTGTTGACTTCAATGTTCACTTTCATATTTACATACACTCTATCTCTGATATTGGTCATTTTACCCATAAATATAGCACACCTTAAAACTATATTTCTATATATATATATATATATATATATAGTTAGTATTAGTGGTAAATATACACATACATATATATTTGTATAAAAAAAATATTCCAAGAGGAAAGAATCCAGGTAGAACTCAATGTCCAGGATAGGGTAAGGATATAATAAAAAAGGCTTAAATATATATATATATATATATATATATATATATATATATATATATATATAAATATTCATTCAAATTACTTCTAGAATATACCAAAGAGATTATGTATATCATATTTTCAATAACTTGGTGTTTAAGATGTGCTATGTATAAACCGACTGAGACATATCTATATATACAGTCAATAATTTTACACATTTCGAAGATACGTTTGGACTATTTTAAAGTGAATGTTTAATTAAAAAAAACAAAATTCAGTTGACACTTGTGTATTTTTAAGTGTGGTACTTTGTCGAAATGCGATTTGTATTTGAGCAGTGACATCTTGAACCAACGCTGTAATTAAATTATTTATGCTTTAACATTTTATTTAATGTCTTATGGCAATTTTCGAAACGTAGTTTATTTGTTGCACAAGGTCGAAAGTATGATACACCCAGTGCGGATCGAACTTACTACTCAGTCGTAATTGATCTTGCTAGACAAGCTTTCTAACCCTTACACAATTTCGAAGTGTTCAAATATCAAAGTATAGCATCAAATGTAATAACATCTTGCGAAGAATGTTTTGAATCCGAGATATTATCATTAAATGACCACCAAATGCGTGATCTTTTGATTTTAAGAGACTAAATTGCTTTTGTAGCCATCCAGTGAATATGATCGATTTTCGATACCCGTAGTTAAAGGCCGAAAGTATAGAGCACTTAGTGAGGATTGAACTCACTATTCAATTGTAATTGATCTTGCGACACAAGCTTGTTAACCGTTACATCATGTCGAGTTGATCATTGATTTTATAAGTGCTGCTTAGATGTGGCACAAGGCCGAAAGTATAGAGCCCACAGTGTGGATCGAACTCACTACTCTATGTTAATGTATTTAGCAAGACAAGATTGAGCACCATTACATCAAATCTTACTGCTCAAAATTTTTTCTAAGTGTAGATTAAAGGTGTCACAAGGCCGAATGTATGGGACACTTAGTGAGTAACGAACACATTATTCAGTCGTAATTGATCTAGCGAGACAAGCTTACTAACCGTTACACCACATCTAAGTGCTCAAAATGTTTTCTAAACGTAGCTTAGATGTGGCACAAAACTGAAAGTGTGGTGCACCTAGTGTGGATCGAAGTCACTACTCAGTAGTAATTGATTTAGCGAGACAAGATTGCTAACCATTACACCACATTGAAGTACACAAAATGGTTTCTATGTGTAGCTTTGCAAGGCTAAAAGTATGGGGTACCCAGTGAGGATCAGACTCAATGTTCAGTAGTTATTGATCGATTGAGACAAGCTTGCTAACCATTACATCACATTGGAGTGCCTCTTTCAGAAAACGTATGATTTTGTCACTACTATTTTGTTTTTAAATAAATGTTTACTTGGTTGGTTTTAATTTATTTTAAATCTCCCGACTAAACTCCAATGTCAAGACGACTGAATTTCGCGTTGTCAGAAGCATATTACAAATCAAACAAGTACAACAATTTAAATATCCGGGAAGTGGTTTAACAGAGGACGGAAAGTTCGACACTGAAATCAAGGGATAGCGAAAGATGCTTTCTACAAGCTGAGCAAAGTATTAAGAAAATTTCGTTAGAAACAAAATAATGAGCTGTTATATAATATCAGTTCCCTTATATGGCAGTGAATGCTAGACAATCTCCTCGCAGAGGAAGAAGAAACCTCAGGAAACAGAAATGTGGTTCTACAGAAGGTTGTTTACAATACGATGGGCCGAACACGTGAGCAAAGACGAAGTTTTAGAGAAAATAGAAAAACAAAATTACACTAAAACATAACATACCACAGTTGAAATTTTTTAGGGAACATAATGAGGAAAGATAGCTTGGAAAATTTGATACTCACGAGGGAAGAGAAAAAGAGGAAAACAACGCATAGTCTACCTAACGAGCTTGCGTAAATGGGTGGCTGGAATCTACCTCTTCTCTTTCTTCATTACGTATGGGTTAAATAGTAAGATAGACTGTACAAGTGGATTGAATACAATATTGGAGAAGGACAAAACTGAATTGAAAAGACATTGAGAAAGCAATGAGTAAGCCAAACCACTATATTTCCCGAGAAGTTAGGGCAATTTGCAGATAATAGAGAAAAGGAATCTACAGAAAGACATTATCGCCTACGCAGAGAAACATTAAAAAGATGTGACATTAAAAAAATTAAAAAGAGAAAACAAAACAACAACAAAAAAACTTGTTTCAAATCTATTTATTTCTTTTGTATGTTATTCCCTTCTTTTCATCTGATACCTAAGTATTCTGAGTTTAATGATCTTTCTTTTCTTTTTCATTGTTCTTCCGGCTACGTCCTTTCTGCTCAACTTGAAGAGCGGCCATTTGCAAATTGGATCGGCAAGTTAATCAACTAGTAAATATATGCACATTATCGGCGATGCATCACCAAAACTTTCCAATGACATCTGATCTTTTGTGCAAAAATAAATCATCTCAATTTCCACAGATGAAAATCTTTAACGGGGAGATGTATTAAAACTGACAGGCAGACAACACTAATTGTCCACTGCAAAGGCCGCTTTAATAAATGGAGGTGGATGAGACTGACGGTATCCAAAGAAAATCAGTTAATGTATGGGGACGTCAACTGATTACGAGAAACGTGGGGATACAAAACATTCGAAATATAGATTTATTTGAAAAAGTAAAGCTTTCAATTTATATGTTACCAGTCAGTATTGATTTACAATGAAAAAATTGTTATTTCTATCTTTTTTTCTGACTTTTTTCCTTGCCGTTTTCGAATTCTTCTCCATCCATCCCATTCTCACATTATTTTCTTTTTACATATTTTTAAAATTTTTCCTCTACTTTTTCTTTATATGCAGTGTTCCCATGAGACGTAGGTAATCATGGCATTCAAGAACTTCTTGTCCTTTGTAGCGCTTAATAAACTTTGTCTTTCTGTTATTTCTCCTAAGCCTTGTTCCGCCATACATTTACTGAAGCTCACTAAATATGTTATGTATTGGTTTCCTCTGTCTTTCTTGCCCTCTATCTGTCCTATGAGTATTAGATTTTCCAAGCTGTCCTTCCTCGTCATGTGACCCAGAGACATTCTCTCCTCCTGATATTTAGTAACACTTTCCTTTTTGTTTCGATTTTCTCTAAAACTTCGTCGTTGCTCTCATGTTCGGTCCATATTATCCTCAGCTTCGTTCTGTAGAATATTTCTGTTGCTTCAAGTCTCCTCTTCATCTCTGAGGAGATTGTCCAGCGTTCTCTGCCATACAGTAGGACAGATATCACGTAACAGTTTAGTATTTTTTTCCCTTGTTTCTAGCGAAGTTTTTCTATTTCTTATTACTGTGCTTAGCTTTTGGAATGATTCCATCCTTGGCTATCCCAATACGCCTTCGGATTTCAGTGTCATAGTTTCCGTCTTCGATTTGAACACTTCCCAGATATTACAATTTCTGCCTTTCTTTGATTTTGGTCTCTCCGACTTGCAATTCGCACTTTGGGCTCGTTTTTTTGCTAACATCCATGGATTCTGTCTTCTTGCTGATCCTGGAGTCTTCAGAATTCGTCCTTGTTGATTCCTTTTTTCTTTTTCTCTTTACACTACTTCTATTTTTTTCGTCTTACGATCTCCAAAGTTTCTTTCTTTTGTCCTCCTTTCTTTTCTTTCTTTTCCTGTCTTTCTTTTTCTTTCTTTTTCCTTTCTTTCTTTCCTTTCCCTTCCTGTCTTTCTTTTTCTTTCTTTCTTTCCTTCCCCTTTCTGTCTTTCTTTTTCTTTCTTTTTCCATTTCTTTTCCCTTCCTGTCTTCCTTTTTCCTTTCTTTCTCTCCTTTCTTTTCCTGTCTTTCTTTTTCCTTTCTTTCTTTCCTTCTCCTTCTTGTCTTTCTTTTTCTTTCTTTTACCATTCCTTTCACTTCTCGTCTTTCTTTCTTTCCTTTCCCTTCCTGTCTTTCTCTTTCCTTTCTTTCTTTCCTTCCCCTTTCTGTCTTTCTTTTTCTTTCTTTTCCCATTCCTTCCCCTTCCTGTCTGTCTTTTTCTTTCTTTTCCCTTTCTTATATCGTTTCCCTGTTTCTTCTATTTTTTCTACATACAAATATTTAGATTTTTATGTTTTTTTTTCATTTAACCTGTCAATTTTTTTTAACAATTCTCTTACCTTTCTTCAATAAATTGTTTCTTTTTTTTATCAATTCACCCCAAGCATGGTTAGTTGGTTGATTTTGTTTAGCAGCATATCAACACCTCTATGGGTTATTTAATGCCGAAAACTAAGTATTTTGAACACAATTTTATGGCTTCAACTACAGATAAAATGTCTTGTTGGTTAGTTTTTTATAAAATGTGTCATTGGTAATTCTAGTATAAAATGCATTGCTGGTCATTTTGCTTTATAAAGGTATTCTTGGTAATTTTACTATAAATATTCATTGATGGTAACTGTTTTATATAAAAATGTATTGCTAGAATCTTCACCATAAAATGTATTTTTATGCTTACATAATGTTTGGTTTTTGTTTCACTATTTCCCCATAGCTGGGACCATAACAAGTGCTACCAACCCGGGTCCTTATAATCTCCTGATCAGGGGGCCTTGCTACAGGGTGTAGTTTATTATCATACCTAGGACAATCCAAGCCAGGCGATAACGCCACTAAGATGCAAGGAGTACTGGAAGCGAAAGAGAAGGAAAAAACGTTAGAAGTAAATGGAAACCAAATAGTAAACAGGAAACAAGGGATAAACCTCTACCCCTGTTCAAAATAGCGGGAAGAAGTGTGATAGGCGAACCAATCTACTCCTGATTTACTTAGGGAACCTCGGCGTGGTGTAATGGTTAGCAATCTTGTCTTGCTCGATCAGTTACTACTGAAAAGTGAGTTCGATCCTCACTGGATGCCCCATGCTTTCGGCCTTGTGCCACATCTAAGCTACGCTTGGAAAAATCTCTACTCCTGATTTACTTTCTAAATGTTGTAATTTTTTAAAAAATTTTTTTCTTTGAGTCCTTCTTTATTTTCTTCGTTTTTCTTTCTAATTCTTTCTTCGAATCATTCCTTGAACATTTTGGTTTTGCGCTACAGATCCACAAACAAAGAACTGTCCAAATAACGTCACTTGAAGACTACCAACAACGGCAACAACTAAAATGGATCGCATATGTAATCAAGATGTTAACATGCCACACTACGTCAAATAAAAAAAAAAATTTAGGAAGGAACTCTGCATGAACAATGAGAAGCGCGATAACAAATACTGGATTTGAAAAACATGTTTTCCTAAAAAGTTGTTTTAATAGAATGGTTTTATAGATTTCAGCCGAAAGCAGTACTGACTGCTGGGTCAATGATTGCCAAGTGTTTCCTTGTAAGGAAACGGCTATTATTACCATTATACCTCCTCCATAAATTTTTAGTTTCTTTCCTTTTCCTTCCTAATTTTTAATTATCCTTTTCTTTCCGGTTTCTCTTTTTTTAGACATTTTTTCCTTTCTTCCGGTTTTCTTTTTTCTGTGCTTTTCTTTAAATTTCTTTATTTGCGTTTTTCTTTTCTCCATTTTGTTTCTTAATTCTTCCTTCAAATCAGTCTTTATTTTTATATTTTTCTAAACTCATTTGAAACTTTTAGAGAAATGAAAAAAAAAAATCTATGTAATTTCATTTATATCCAATGAAGCTATAATTTGTTTTGAGAAATGAGTAAGTTTAAGTTTTCATGATCTGTTAATGTTGGCGTCACTTCCATTATTGTCAGACGTTAACAAGGAGAAAAGCGTTCAATGTCATAAAAGGAAGGCCGAAATATATGTAAAAAAAATCTGAATAGTTTCTCCCAACGAAAAATATTCAAAAAAAAAAAAGAAAAATCAACAAGGCCAAGCGTTCCCCTTCTTGTTGTAAAGTTATCTTAGCATGATTTATCTCCCCTTAACTCAATTGTCTGTAGTCATTCCAAGAGGAAAATAACACATATTAAATCTAAGCATTTCTTAACGCTTGTGTCAAAAGTGAAATGATAGAACTTGAAAGAGATGGGTTTTATATCACTGACAATATTCTTGTATTATATTACCGTGTCTTGTAGCAGATGAGATGTACGGCTTTATAGAACGCAATCTGAATTTAGCATGAAAGAAGCGTGGAAAATTCTACCGTTGAACTTTTTTTATGGCATATAATGAGGAAAAAAGGCTTAGAAAATCTGATACTCATAGGACCGATTGAAGGGAACAATGACAGAGGAAAACAACGCATAACGTACTTAGTGAGATTGAGTAAATAAATGGCGAAACAGAGTTTCGGAGAAACAACAAAAAGACAAAATTTATTAAACGCTACAAAGGATAGGAAATTGTGGAGATCCATGATCGCCTACCTCTTGATGGGACACGACAAATAAGATAATGGAAAAATCCTGAATCATTAAACGATGTAGATTCAGAGTGTTGTATCGTCGAGGTCAATGATACACAGAGAAGAATGAATGCTTAATATATTTATTCACCAACACTATCCGGTGTTAACGGATGCATACAAACAACAAAAACACAAAAAAAAGCACACAGAACAATAAGTTACAAAATAATTAACAAGACAACATACAAGTAATAAAGAGGGTCATATGCTGTATAGCTAAACGAAGATCAATCCGAATACTAATCTGTTTAGTATCAACTTATTAACCAACTGTTGAAGTCCTTAACTGTAGACTAAGGCTATGAGCCATGGCCATCTGGTAGCGTACTGAAGGAGTGCTAGCTAATCTACAACAATAGCCTTTCATTTGTAGAGGGAAAAGGGTGTGAAGAAAACGAAGAAAAAAAAAATCTTTATCATCATGTGTGTGTGTGTGTGTGTGTGTGTGTGTGTGTGTATCGTTGAGGTGTTGATAATGATACACAGAGAAGAATGAATGCTTAATATATTTATTCAGCAACAGTATCCGTTGTTAACGGATGCATACAAAAAAAAAAAAAAAACACAGAACAATAAGTTACAAAAAAATTAACAAGACAACTTACAAGGAACAGAGGAAGTTCAAATGCTGTATAGCCAAAGTAAGATCTTTTCGAATATTAATCAACCTTTATAAACTTACTAATCAACTGCTGAAGTCCTTAATCGTAGACTATTTAAGGCTATGAGCCAGGACATCTGGTAGAGTGCTGAAGTGGTGCTGCCTACTCTTAACACAAGAACGTCATTCGCTGAATTTTTACTTTTTAGGGTTTTACTGGGATTCAGATTTTGAAAACAGAGTTCGTATAACAAGCCAGTCTGTGTGTGTGTGTGTGTGTGTGTGTGTGTGGAGACAAAGATATTCTCCATATGGGAGCATTATAAAATTTTTGGAAATTATGAAATTGTACTACATTTTTTTTTTTACTAATCTTGTAGTTTTTGTTTTTTTTTTTTTACTAATCCTGGGGAATTGATTGGATAGTATTATTGAAATGGGTCGCCTGATAATGATTTTTGTTGTTTCGGCAACCACCCTATTCTTATATTTGTTCTTGCTCCAGTCAAATAAAGCCAACCATATGTGATGAGGTGTGTGGCGGCTGAGAACATCTTTTCTTTTTCTTTTTACTTTGGTCTATAAGTTTGTTCATAGACGTGTATATTCGACAATGTAAGATTAACCTTTATATATATTATAATAACTAGCATAAAAATCATTATTATTTTAAAATATTCATTTTATATTAAAGTATCTAAAAAAGAAGAGGATGAGGCCGTGCCAATAAAAAAAAGTCTTTATCAGGCCCCACAACTAGTATAATAATAACGGCCATAAAAATGTAGGTGCGATGTGTTGAAATAATCACCAACAAATAAATAATCAATAAAAGATAATGAGTAAGAAAAAGAACAAAAAACAAACGGCTGGATTACTGCTCGAGTTTGTTCCCATACCCTAATGCGCAAATAACCTTTTTGAAAGGTACGAATTCATTTTTCAGGTGTTATTATTATAAAAGGTATGATCACCGAGAATTCCTTCGTCCTTATTTATTCTTACATTGTGTGTATTAAACTTGATAAAGAAATTGTTGTCTGTATAAATAAAGAAGCAAAGTAGAAGGAAGCTTCTAACATTGTCTATACTATGATTGTTGGGCACCTCGAGGCGGTGTAATGGTTAGCAAGCTTGTCTCGCTAGAACAATTACGACTGAATAGTGAGTTCGATTCCCACTAGATCCCCAATGCTTTCGGCCTTGTGCCACATCTAAGCTACGCTTAGAAAATAAATATACTATGATTGTTGGGATAAAAAAAGCTGAGTTTTCGAAGATCTCCAAAAGACTGGGGATGGTGTAGCGCCAACGTTCTGAAGTGAAAAGGCACATAGGAGAGGACAATACTATGATTAGGAAAGTTGAAATATTAGGCAATAGAAGGGTAATTAAAGTTATCTCTAAATTGTATTTCTCTGATTGAGTGATACTGTTAATTTTGAGATGACATAGTCATAACCGGACAGGTTACTCTACGAGTGTTACTGGTACCAAGTAACCCAGTACTACCTGCCAGATAATCGGTTCATCTTGTAATATCCCATTTTTACCATAGAGTTCTGTGGTGGAGGGCGGCTAGACATCCAGCGAGAATAAAAAAAAAACACTTGTCAAAGGGCAAGTGAACTATGTTGTAGGTAGCGTAATGGAGTTAACTGGACTTCATACTATGCAGACAGTCCGGTGATGTCAGGGAATCACTGGGCGGCGGGTTTCCTAGACTCCGATGGAATCAAGGGTCACATAACCGTAACTAACTTCAAGTAGTAGGGAAACAGTTGTGGTTAATCAGTAGAGGATTTTTTGTCTTATTAATGTTAACGCAATTCAAGAGGCAATATCTACTCAAGGTAGAGGATTACTGTGTGGTATTGTATGAACGTAAACTTATTAGGTAGGTTACTGGCTGCCCCTGTTATTTTTCAATGTCCTACAAATCAGTCTTTCCATCATTGAGCCACAATGTTTAGGTCAGATGAGACCAGCTGCTAGGTTCGGGTCATCCAGATTTTTTGAGCTGCATCTATAAACAGAAGTGTCATCTGGCATAGATGTTCACTTATTTGGAGTATGTTCTTAGGCAGATCATTAATATAAAGAGGAACCCCGGTATTGATATTGTTGGGCTTTCAATGTCAAATTCTCCAAAATCGTTTTATGTATCATAATGAGGTTATAGAGATAAAATAATGACTTGAAGAAGAGAAGAATGTAGTGAGTCTGTTCCACAAAGCATCGGTTCTTGGGAAGAAGTTCTCTGAGTGGAATTTATTTCTTATTAACGGGATACGAAGATAATGATGATGATTTATCTTCGTATAGGTGTCATGTCGGGTCTCAGCTGCAATGGCCAAGGCTAGTGGAACGAAGGAATATAACTCGTCATAACACTTACTATGAAAACAGCGATATTTCATAACCACGAGGCTATGTGGAAGGTTTTTGATCTCAAGACAGGCAAGTGAGGACTGGGCAGCTCCAGCACAGATATAGCAGCAATACTTCATTTTTTGTCTGATCTATCTTTTGCAAAGATATCGTATAGCCGTTGGTATTAGATAGTTACTGGAGTGGTACAATGAACCGACCACTTTTAGTAATAAATCATATATATATACGTCTAAGGTAAGCTTGAGTCCCAATAGACGTTCAAAACAAGGTGTTTCCTTGAGAGAACAACCATTGTTCAATATAGTTGTGCCTTCACGGAGATGTTAGGACCAGTTTAGTTTTGAACGTACTGAATTTTACAAACCAGTCCTTCCATCATTGAGCCACCATGTCTAGGTCAGATGAGACCAGCTGCTAGGTTCTGTTCATCCAGATTTTTGGAGCCGGGTCTATAAACAGAAGTGTCATCTGGCATAGTGTTATAGTGGAACACACCTATTCTATAGTTAATAGACTCTCCCACCTATAATAAGTAGGAGTAGTAGCAGTCGCCAGTCGCTCAGTGAGTTTGTCAGTCAGTCGATGTCGGGTGACAGTTAGTCGGATACTAAAGTATGAGCGACCACCACTAGTTTTCTCTGCATTTCTATTATATCAAGTTTCTAACGTTTTGTATGTCGAACCTATTTTAGGACCGACTTAGTGAAATACAAGCCTCCACTGTGATTCGAACTCTACAACACTTGGTGACGTAGGATTCGAACTCATACGGAGGAAGAAAAACATTCGTACTCTACAACACATAGATGTTCACTTATCAGGAGTATATTCTTAGGCAGATCATTAATATAAAAAGGAACCCCGGTATTGATCTTGTTGGGCTTGTCAATGACCGGCTGTTAACAACTACCTTCAATGGCCTAGCTGTAAGGAGAGACTTGATAAATGGGAAATCGATTTCAGAGATGCCATAGCTGAAGAGATAGCAGGTGCCCCTTGTCAAATATATAGAAAAACAAAGATTCAGAAAGAGACACTTGACATTCTTATGATACATAAAATGATTTTTGAGAATTTGACACCCACAATACATTGGAAAACAACGGGGGCAACCAGTAACCTACCTAATAAGCTTACGTGGATGGAGGATTCTCTGGG